GCCACAATAATATAATACAGAAATAACTGTTAATGTGATGTAGCAAATTTATCTCTGTTGCAGGTTGGCCTTGCCATCAAACCAGGAACTACAGTTGAGTATTTGGCACCATGGGCTAATCAAATAGATATGGCCTTGGTTATGACAGTGGAACCTGGGTTTGGAGGGCAGAAATTCATGGAAGATATGATGCCAAAGGTAAAAGAAGTATTTGATTCTAGATTGAAGCTTTTACTATGTGTGTTCATTCAGTAAGCATGTATTGAAAGGCTTGTATGTTAGACATGCCCTGTTCTGAAAGTGAGGAGATAAGGATCATTCTGCTGATCATTCTAATACAGTATGCTAAGTGCTGTAGTAGATTTAGCTTTGGAAATCAGAAAAGGTATTAAATGTTTATCGTGTAATTTTCTTTCAAAACCGTTATCTCTGTAACCTTTAGATCTCTTGGAAGTTTTCATTGACTGTTGAGGATTTGTCTTTGTCTTGTTTCCATGACATATAGTCTCTGCAGTGACATGACAAATTGAATGCCAGAGTGTTCCTCAATAATACATTGTATTGATATAGTTACTGTGTGAGACGTTTGGAGTTTTAATGGCTAATATTGGCTGTTTGACTTTATTTATTTGGTTGTTTTTTTCCCCCCACATATCCACTTTAGGAGTTACTTATTTCCTCATGTATATCTAGGTTCACTGGTTGAGGACCCAGTTCCCATCTTTGGATATAGAGGTCGATGGTGGAGTAGGTCCTGACACTGTCCATAAGTGTGCAGAGGTGAGATTGCTCCGCAGCTGTGACTAGACCAATTTCCTGTCAAATATAATCTCCAGGACATTGTCTCATGGGACAAAGCAATTTCCTGTGGTTCCTAAATTGACTTTTTTTCTTGAAAAAGTATATTTTACTCACATGTAGAACTAGGAAAATAAGGAGCAGTAAGTTAATACTGTAAAATCACATAAATTGTTAAATAGTAAATCCTGGTTCTCGCAGTAATGCTGAAGAAAGTCCTTTTTTAAAAAAGAATATGTTAAATGTCAGCCTGTTGGAAGATCATTAAGTGACATCTTGGAGTGAGAAATTTTTGCAAAATAGGGAAAGAAAAGGTAACTCTTTATGGGGGAAAATAAAGAAATCTAGTAGACCTAATTATTATGTTGTTCTTTAGAACCTAGGTGTATTACTTACCTATTTGTCTCATGTAAGAATAAACTAAAACCATTTTTGATGAAAATCTAGGCCTGGCATCCCTTTGGCCATATATGTAAGGGTGAGATACGTTTTTTTTTTTTTTTTCTTCCCTCATCTAGTTGATCTTAGTCAGGCTTCTGAGGACTTCCTGTAGCACCACAAGTGATTAAAGCTTACATGACCTGCTTTTATTCAGCAGTGTGGTATATCTGTACTTTTAGGTTCTTGTGTAACTGCCGTACTTTTCTGCTTAATACATACCCATCAAAAGCCTGGCAGTAATAAGTATTTATGCAGGAGGGGCTGACCAGATCAGTAAGCATATGTCTTCTGGTTAACTGTGCATTGCCATTATGCTATTCTTAACTTAGCTGAAGAGATATGTTATAGGTTAACCCTGTAAAACTCATTGTTATAATTTCTATGAGGAATGTTGGAAATGTAGTACTCAGTCATAGAGTGACAGTGTTTTCACTGGAGAAATTTTCCTCAGCCTCCTCTGCCTTCTGTCCCTTTCTGCTAGCAATTGATCACATAACAGATTAGATTTCCGTCCTTGAGTCAAATCCTAGGAAGCTCAGAACTAAATTTAGGACCCATCATAGTAGCTTTCTTTTTAATTTTTTTGCTTCCACTTCAAAAAATATTATCTTAAATCATTTTTAAGCCACCTCAAAACCATTCTGGAATGCAATGAAGTATAACTAGAGACATTCCATACGTTCGGACACCAAAATGAGATTACTTAAATTTAAAGTTGCCATATTTTATGGCTAATTTCACATTTTAGCAATAATTGTCCTTACACACTATCTACAAATTCATATAAATAATTCAAAGATTAAAAGACTTTTTTTAGTAGCTGTGGGCCATTGGTATATATTGCCAAAAACCTTAATGGAATTGAGGATTAAAGGGTTTTAAACTTTATCTAATTAGCAAAGATACCAGGTAGCGTATTTAGAGTTGGTTTACCAAAAAGTTCAGTGATTTCTTAGACACATTAAAAAATAATTTCATATCCTCATTTGTGAACCTTTTAACTTCTTTCCTTATTGAACTAGATTGCTTAAGTCTGCTCATCTCAAAGCAGCTTTCATATATAATTAAGGTGTTGACAGATGCAAGAGTAGAAACTCTAGTCTAAGAATTCTGTTTTAGGTTCTTCTGCATCTTTATTTGAGGCATAACCTAAATGTTTACTTCTTCCAGGCAGGAGCTAACATGATTGTGTCTGGCAGTGCCATTATGAGGAGTGAAGACCCCAGATCTGTGATCAACCTGTTAAGAAATGTTTGCTCAGAA